AAAATTTATATCTTTATGTTTGAAGCCTGAAATGTGGCAAAAGGTTGAAAAGTTCAAGGGGGCCGAATACTTTCGCAAGGCACTGTAATTGTAATAAAGCCTCAAGAATAGACGAGTCTAATCTCACCACTTCTTGAAAGAAACCAGGGTATCCGCTTCGATTTGGTGGAGCGGTGGCACTGTCGCTAAGGATCCGTGCCTGTGGCCCGGAGGTTGCTGGTTTAAATCCTACTCCGTTGGGCTCCTGAGCAAGGCCCTTAACCCCAGTATAAATGGCTGACCCTGTGCTGTAACCCCTAGCTTCTCTCTCCCCCTGTCTGTGTGTCTCATGGAGAGAAAGCTGGGGTATGCAAAAAAAAGACCAGTTCCTAATGCAAGAAATTGTATATGGCTAATAAAGTGATCTTATCTTATAACTTCGCTGGGCAGCTTGTTCCAGACTCCCATAGCCCTTTGTATAACGAAGTGTTCCTGTTCTCGGTTTTATTTGGTCTTCCCTGGAGTCCCCACTTGTTCCCCTCGGGAGTTTCAATGCGGGATCTGAAAAAGCCCAAGGGGGTGACTTTGACAGCGCCACGGAGGATTCCGAGCACTTGGCCCGTGCGGGGCAGGGGCCAGGTGAAACAGGTTGCAGCTACACCGAATGTCCACGAGATGGCAGCGTGAGCCCGGTTTTTCTCCAGAATTGCTGCACCACCTGGGCGAACCCTATATTAAGTGATCTAGCAGGGACTCAGGGAACAGGTAAAGTTGTATTCCTATTCCGTGCTGAAAGAAAGACACAACGTTTCAGCTGTGGAGCCTTCTTCAGGTGCGGCTCGTACAATTAAAGATATACAAAACACAAATATACTACATAATAGATAGCATCCAGGGCAGGCTCTAGCTTGAGGGCTCGAAGCAAGATATTGGAAAGGGTCCGTTCCAGATCATAATTTGCGCATAAACTACTATTATCAGCTCCCAGCACAGCCTTAGTTTACCATTTAAAACAGTTTAAGACATCCATTACATAACTGTAAAACGTACTAACCAGCTTTGAAGAACACATAATAAGTTATAAACAAGAAGAAGAAGCACAACTTTTACAAGAATAACGTATTTTAACGCAACGGGGGTTCAGGCGGGCGCCCTTGCCGCGTTAGGTCGGCCTGGACTCCTGCGTCACTCAACAGGGACCCAGCCCGGTGAGCCAAAGAGAGGTCCCACTATCACAGGGAAGGGCGGTGACGTCAGCATCACTGTTACCTCGGACCTACAGCAACGAACTTACAAATCACTGCATTGATACCTTTGCAGAAAGAAATCGTAGAAATAAATATGTGATTAAGAAACAAGTGCGCTCAACAGCAAGGGAGGTGAGATCAGTCAGGCTGGGCAGACGGTAAGGTTTTATAAAAACAAAACGCTAAATTAATTCGTCCATCGGGGGGCAAAATCTTCAATCATATCTTTTATACGATAGTAGTCGACCCACTGGAAGACTGATGCTCATGATGGCCGGGTCGGCTCTCCGCTCCTGCCGCTGTCAGTCCGACGGGCTACAGGTGGAGTTCACAGCAGCCCCATCTAACTCAATACAGGAGAAACCGCGGGGACAGCAACGCGTTTTCATGCCAATTGTGTATGATCGCTGAACAGTCTTCTGTACCGTACATTGCCTTTCACGCTATTGTTTGGCCGGGCAGCGTCGAGTTTTCGCCAGGCAACACCGCACGGCATGTGTACAGTCGCGGGAAACCCGTTACCTTCTGGTAAAACCCCCCCAGAGGGCTTCGTGTCCAGCTTGAAAAGGTGTCTTATCTACCGTTCGCTGGTTACAGGGATCTGACTGACCCAGGACCCAATGAGATCCAAATTACACGACCACGCACAGAGCGCACTATTACAATGACCTTAGCGTGCGTCTGTTTTGAGATCGCTTGTCCCGCTCTTCTTCTCCAAGTTTCAATTTAATTCAGCTATTTTTGTCATTATACTTATACAGTTGCGTAGCACAATGAAAAGAATTTCTCACCAGTCTCTCGGGTGCAGTATGTACTGTATATATAGAAAAGCAGACAAGACAATAGTAAATAGAATAATGAAGCGCTTCCGGGTTCACGTGGGTATGACCCCTCAGGTCTGCCTCCCTTTAGCTCAACTGGCTGGGTCCCTGTTGAGTGACGCCGGAGGCCCGGGTTTGAGCCCCAGTGGTGGAGGGCTGACTGAGGTGGGAGTGGTGAGGGTGTATACCCAGGGGAACTCGAATGCGCTGCAGTAACAATAACAATGTAAACAACGAGTATGGCACCAGTGTGACAGTACCCAGTTCAAGCTCTGCTTGCATTCAATTGTGGGACATAGGATGTATGTAGTGGTGTAAGGAGAGATCATAGTTTGGTGGGTGGGAGCTGGGGGGGTCACCAGCTTCACGTCTCGGGGGAAGAAGCTATTTCGGAGTCTTTTTGTGTGCGTCTGGAGCGTCCGGAACCTTCTACCAGATGGTAGGGGGACAAACAAGTTGTGAGTGGGGTCAGTCGTAATTTTGGTGGCTTTTTTCAGACACCTGGTGTTGTAGATTTCCTGGATGGGTGGTAAGGCACTGCCGATGATGTGTTGGGCAGTTTTGACCACCCGCTGCAGGGCCTTGCGGTCGGATGCGGTGCAGTTGCCGTACCAGGCTGTGATGCAGCTGGTCAGTATGCTCCCCACCGTACATCTGCAGAAGTTGGTGAGGATCTGTGGATGTAGGTGTTTTTTCTTCAACCTTCTCAGGAAGTACAGCCGCTGTTGTGCCTTCTTGAAACTGGAGGTGTTGAGTGCCCATGTGAGGTCCTCAGAGATATGAACACCTAGGAATTTGAAGTTGTTCACCATCTCCAACACACCAACACATGTTCAGGCAGGTGGGTGCAGATTCTTTTGGTACCGGTATGATGGTGGTTGTTTTGAAGTACCTAGGTACAGTAGCCTGGGCCAAGGACAGCTTGAAGATGTCAGTACAGAGATCAGCTATCTGCCAGGCACATGTTCTGAGTACCCGGCCAGGGATTCTTCAGAAACATCACGTACTCAATTATGATTGGTCATGTGTTGACTGGGCTTCCATTAGGATCATCCACAGCAGCAACTAAAAAAGCCACTAAGGGAATTTGTTGATCAGATTTGAAGGTGCTGATTAAAAATATGTTGTGTTGCATTTTGAGGGGTCCCTAGGTAGGGGTCCCTGGCGGCCTTGGGGCCTGAGAAAGACCCCTAATTCGCCCATGCCCAGGGCTGACAGCATCCACCCAACACACCCAACACATTCACAATCCTGAACACAAACCAGTGATAGAACAAATAACAGTGAGACTTCTACATGCATCCACACACATGCACATTCACACACATGCGCATGCACACACATGCACACGCATCCACACACTCACACGCATCCACACACATGCACATTCACACGCATCCACACACATGCACATTCACACGCATCCACACACATGCACATTCACACACATGCGCATGCACACACACTCACACGCATCCACACACTCACACGCATCCACACACATGCACATTCACACGCATCCACACATGCACACACATCCACACACATGCACATTCAGACTCATCCACACATGCACACGCATCCACACACATGCACATTCAGACTCATCCACACACGCACACGCATCCACACACATGCACATGCGGACACTCACAGAAACACGATAGTGACTTGGCTCATGTGTGTTTGGAAGGTGGGAGGTCACCGAGCACCCAGACAAAACCCAGCCTGAAACGGGAACAAGGTGCAGACGGTACCCAGTCCAGAACCGAACCCGGGACCCAAGAGCCACCGCTGCACTGTTCCACCCCTGTTCCGATCCTTTAATATCGTGAAACTCCATGACTGCCAGCCTGCCTTGGGCACACACTGTGCGGTTTGTCGTATTGTTACACTCGGGCTTTGTCGAGCATTGCGATTTCCAGGACTAAAGAGGACAGCAATTTTGTTCAGTTCAGTACACAGAAAGAGTCGTGTTTTTCCGACTCAGTGTGGTGTTGCCCTTTCTTATGTACACAATAACACGTCTATCCCATTTATACTGTGTCTTTCCAGTCATAAATACCCTGAATACAGCGGTTAAGTTGACCGTGAAAATGGTCAAGATCGACGGAACACACAAGTGTCTCAAGACACGTTTTCACGGTTTTCGCTCTAACCGGAAGGCGAGATGAGGAATTTAACTGTTTAATCAGGATCTCTCCTTGGGAGCTTCATTAGGAATAGAAAACCAAAACGTGTTTTCATCATGAAACTTCGCCAGGTGTAAGACGTATTCTTCCTCTGATACCGAAGAGACAATGTTGTTTCACCGTCAAGGGCAGGTCGTTATTAATCGTGAGAGGCTCTGTGTGAAAATAAAGACTGAGCGGCGATCTTATTCTTCTAACGGAGTGTTTTCGGCCGGCTCGACCGCACATCCACACTCGACAAGAGCGAGCTGGAGGTCCCTCTCCGCTCCTTTTTCTCCGTCGGTGTAGAAACCGACAAGGAAATCGCTGAGAAAGGCAAAGTTCCGTGGCACGTTGATTAATTTCCAGCTGGTCAATATATTATTGACTCGCCGTGCGGGAGACGAGAGAGAGAGAGAGTCAGTGCGCGCGTCGCGGGCGTGGGGGAGGAGAGGCTGCGGAGGAGGGGCGGAGAGCGTGTTTGCCCCGGTGCCTGGGCTCCCCTTGCGCGCGTGTATATGAGAGGCGCGTTCGCCCGTCCGGTAACTCGGAGCCCTGCGGCGCTGCCAGCGAGGAGGGGCTGCGCGCCGGTCGGCCCACTGGGACGGGTCCGGGTATAACTGGCCACCGGGGACACCAGCGGCGGGTGCCGAGTCGGCCGAGATGATCGCGACCACGCATCAGAACATGACCACGGACCTGGTAAAACTGCATGCTCGGTGTCTGCTGTGTGGTTTCAGAAACTTGAAGGGAAAGAGCCGCCCTCAACTCCAAAGCGCGGCTCCCTCCTCACACTCCCAGGTACAGCGTATCCGGGGGTTTGGCAGTGCTCTCTACCGGCTCGTCTGTCAAGCCCAGCCCCTCCCTCCCCCCCGGCACGGTTTGACAGAGTCTTGGCACGGGGAGGCTTGGAGCGCAGGAGCATGGTGTGCTCGTATTCAGGGGTCTGTGAGCGGGAGCGTGAGGCCGCAGGACAGACGGCCGCTGCAGCTTATTTGCGCTTTCTTTTCGTTTGTTTCTTGACTGGACTTCTCCTCCTCTCCTTTTTATGCACTCTGTCCCGTGCCATTTATCCTTCGTGCGCTCGCCAGTCGTCCTGTCGCACGCTTTTGTGATCCTTCCCCGCGTCTTCTTCGGTCTCGAGTCTCGCTTTCCTCTCTCCCGGCTCGGACCCGTGCCAGACCCCGGGCGCGCCGGGACGTCCTCGGGTCTGCCGGGCTGCAGGACGGATGCGCCGCTCCACGCGTCCCTCGACCAGGACCAGCGCCTTCCAGCCACTCGCCAAACAGCACCTGACAGCCAGCAGCCTCCGCGGGCGAAAGTCCCGCATGCCTCCCTGCGCTCACTCCAGGACTATCAGAGCAAGAGGACACGAGCCACGGCGCTCTGAATGTCACCAGCACACGCTTACAGATACCCGATAAGGTGCAAACGGCAGGCCGCTGTACAGATCAGGGACCGCCGGCCTTTGGCACATCCATTACACTGCATTCCCCCAAAGCCCTCTTCAGCACGCGGGCGCATTTAACAGTGACGGCACCGTTCAGTCAGTCATGCACTGGGGGGGGGGTTCAGAGACACGGGGCACGGCACGTCGGCGTGGAATTTGAGCACGCCTGGTCTGGAACAGCAGCAGCAAGGCTGCCCGCTGGTTCTACCGCAACTGTGAGGACAGTCGCACCCGGCCCTCAGAGTCCCTTATAGTGAAAAAGAGGCGAGTAAGGCGCAGCGCAGTCACACGACTGTCTTTGCTTCACTTCGACAAGGGGACAAGGGTGGTCACCAGTTTTGTGTTCTAGGATCCCTATAAACTGCCCAGCGTGCACAACTTCAACAAGTAACTCGCATGGTTCCCTCAAAATATTTGAGCTTCGGAAACTCGGGGGTTTCCAAGTTATTAGAGCGGGCTGCCGTGCGCGTTGTGCAAATAACTTCATTTGCTTTTTCGATTTTCGTGTTTTACACCATGTTTAAATGATTAAAAATCAATGCCCCCAGGACGTTTCAGGCAGAAGCCCCTCTTCAGCGCTTCAGAAAGAAAAAGCCACGGCAGAGGAATTCTGTCATCTGGCGAGTGAGGAGGAGCCGTATAAAGCGTACGAGTTGAGCCTGCGGTGGCTGTTTTGACTCGAGTTAAAAAGACGGTGTGTGGGTTATCTGGGATCGATTCTCTTACACTTGAAACGAATTCAAGTCATCGTTTTTTTTTTTCCTACGAAAAAAAGCCACTTTCTATCTCGCATAAATCCTGCAGAAAAATCCCGTTAAGATTGAAGAGAAACCCGTGCACATTTAAAAAAAAGGATCTGTGCAGTTTGAAATTCTTGCGGGGCGCGTCTTCATCTCCGTGGACTCTCCCCCTGTGAGCGGAAAGATAGGACCGCTGCTTTCTTTTGTCTGGCTTCCAGATACGCGGCTCGACTGCAGGACAGTCCGTCTTGTGCCACAGCGAGGTGGCAGCTGGGCTACCGCAGTGTGTGTGCCCAGTGTGTAGCTTCGACGAAGTGGAGGATCCCCAGCCGCAGTGAGCCAGGGGTCTCTCCGTGAGGCGCTGTGATCACGCCGCGCTTCCCACCGGCTGCGAGACGGGGCAGCCGGGCTGCACGGAGGGGCTGCGTTTCCTCCGGCCGCGCGGCCGGTCGCCGCAGGCGCCGCCACCAGCGCCTGGCGCGAGCCCCCCCAGCCCCTCGGGCGGTAGCGCCGAGAGCGAGCCGATAACAAGGAGGCGAGGTGTTCAGCGACCGCATCGTGGGGTGTACGTGGGTGTGACAGGCTCCTTCGCGGGACCGTGCTCCAGAAACCAAGGACTACACGCGGCTGGGAGCGTCGAAGACAAAATCATCACTCGCGCACCTTCCGTTATTGTCTCGCCTGAGACTCTCCCGACCGACTTCAGAGTCTCTCATTTACTGTGGGATCTGCTCTTGTGTATAACCTCCCCCCTCACACACACACACACTCGCTCGCTCGCGAGGAAGCCCAGCTCCCCACAATGTTTGCGGCGCAGCAAGGTCTCACCACGGTCCTGGTAAGAAAATAGTTTCATTCGTCCTAAAATGTATTTTGGTGTTCTGGTGGTTCGTGCTTTTTTTGTGCTCTCTCGCGTTTTCACGTGTGTCCACCCTGCTCTTTCCTGACAAAACTACTGCGGGACGTCAGAACAGAATGTGACGCCAAAACGTTAAGTTGAAGGCAGAAGGAGTGTAAAATACCTTGCTGTTTTCAAACCTGGGTTACCCTTTGGTAAAAGCGTTTGGTCTCTTTTAACGCGGTAATTGGTCCTTTGCGCGGCGCGGTGTATGAACGGGCGTTTGAAAAGAGCGTCAGCAGAGAGGCTAGGGGCCTATGCCAGCTGCTGAAATTAACCTGGACCGTATCGTCCTGCCAACAGGAGGTCCACATCGCCTGGGTGATGATCCCTGCCTGTGTTGGCCTTCCCAAACGTGCATCTCCTTCATACTATAACGTTATTTATTACGCTTTTACAGCCTTGAAGACTAGTCCATATGAAGTCCCTGAACTGGCATGGCTAGGGACCGGCACAGGCAGGTTCTAAGTAAGGCCCAGTATTACTGCCTGCGGGCAGCAGCTGGTGAGGGTGGCATCAGGTGTGGAGTGTGGCCGTCTCCCTGTTCCGGGGCCCTGGTTTCAGTGGCAAAGAGGTGCACCTTCTGTGTGGAGTTTGCATGCTCCCCACCCTAGTTTTCACCTGCCGTTCTGGCCTCCTCCAGCCTCCCCAGGACGTGCTCCCGAGTTGACCCCACGTTATTCCCCGGTGGCCCTCAGCTGTCCGAATGTGTAGGCGTGGCCCCTACAGCAGGAGGGGAAGAGGTGGGTGGCTGAGAGTCTGTGCAGGGGGAGCTGACCCCCGTCTTGATGCGCGTGCGGCTTGTGAGCATGAAGACACCCGCTGGGTTTCCACATGTGCCTGTCCCCCACCCACCTTCTAACGGCTTCACCCAGTTCAGGCTCCGAGAGGGAGCTGGAGCCTATCCCTGCAAGCAGCGGGCGCGAGACAGGACACATCCGGTCCGTCTCTGGGCCAAGTTTCTCAGAAAACCAGTCAACCTCCCAGCATGTCTTTGGACTGTGGGAGGAAACCGGAGCACCCCGAGGAGACCCACGCGAACATGGGGAAGAACCTACAAACTCCACACCGGCAGCACCCCAGTGCCAGAATCGAAACCCAGGGCTAACCCCTGCGCCACCTTGCAGCCCACGTGTGCCAGTCAGGTCAGCGAAAATGTGGGTTCGGCCTCCGTGAAGACCATGCAGTGCCCCCGTACCCCCCCCACGGTCCTGGAGGGCTGCTGAAGTATTGTGCTTTTCATTCCCCTGTGGGCTCCCCGTGACGCGTGTCCGGTCCTCTCTGAACCCTCTCTGTGCAAGTCAAAGCCCTTTTAGTCTCGCGACACGAGTGTTCGGGATCCTGACAGAGTCCCCCTGGCAGAAGTCTTCCGAGCGAACGGTGAAACACGAACCAGGGGGCACAAGTGGAAACTGAAGGGAAGAGCATTTACAACCCAGGACAGGAGACACGTTTTTACGCGAAGGGAGGCAGGAGAGTGGAACAAACTGCCCTGCAGGTCTGATTGATTCAGGTCTGACTACTCTCAAGAAGCGGCTGCATGAGATCCTTGGATCAATTAGCTACTAATTACAGGCCAGTGGCCAGACCACCCTGCAGCTCACAGCTCACAGCTGGTAGTCCACTGAAGCTCAGCAGGTGTGAGCCTGGTCGGTACCTGGATGGGAGACCTCCTGGGAAAACTCAGGTTGCTGTTGGAAGAGGTGTTAGTGGGGCCTGTAGGGGGCGCTCACCCTGCAGTCTGGAGTCTGTGTGGGTCCTGATGCCCCAGTAAAGAGAGAGGACACGATTCTGCAAAAAGGTGCTGTCCTTCAGATGAGATGTAAAACCAAGCCTCTGTTCTCGATTGTAACTGTTCTTGTGATGTAATTAAAATCACCTATTCACTCAAGTGATCTTTATAACCAGTTCTTCTTCATTGACATAAAAAGTTACCTGTAAAAACTAGTGGACCGCCCAGGAATGAGTATGACTGAAGTAGAGGTTAACTCCAGGCTGAGACCCACAAATAGTAAAACACACAATGTAACAGCAATGGTGCAACAGCCAGGGTTGTCAAAGACGTGAAATATATCGCCTGCAATTTATCGACAAGTTTGGAATTAACCTCTGATTATTTCTTTGGAGTTCGCACAATGACGCGGCTGCCTGCTCTACCTGCTGATCGATCAATACAGAGAGAAGAACCGTCTCCTTATACACAGGTGCACTTCCTGACGGTTCCGTTTTGCAAAGGGAATACAATCTGCAGGTAAAATTAGCTTCGTGACTTCAATCTGTGCTCTGATTGTACTTCACTTGCTTCTTTAACGTGCGATCTATCTCGCTAGAGCTACAAACGATGTATTGACGAACATAAAAGGCATTTTTCTTGTTCCGAAGGACAAATACTCCCTCCCTTTATCTTTCCTCCAGCAATGAGGCGGAACATTTGTTTCCAGTCGTTGTGAGAGTACTCCTCTGACAGTCTGTTAGCCTTTCATTCTGATGGCAGTAGAAACGTGGATGTGATTTCTTAACAACATCTCCGATCAGAAGAGCTCATAGAGCAGAGGACAATAAAGGAGATCTCTCACCCGGAGCAATATCTTCACTGCTTGTGGATAAAGAATACAATGTTAGACTTGTATTGTTCACTTATTATTCATTTTTCTTAGAAGCTAGGTTTTGCAGGCATATTATCAAACAAATACAACTGGTTCCGATAAATAATAAACAAGGGTTGAAATAGGTTGATACGAGATTAAGCTCGTATAGCATAGCTTTGATTAGAGTTAATGTCGTGTACGGTGGCGTGTCAATAAGCAGGTCTACACAAGCTGGAAAACGAAAGATTCCCTTTAGTCCCCGGTAAGACTGCAGTTGTGTCCCAGGAGCCTTAGTCGTGTCTATGTGCGCATCAGACACAATCAGGCCCAGGGAACAGGGAAGCTGTGCTCCGCTGCCTGCGCTGCCTGCTGGAGACGCGGGTGAAATTAATTGCGCTTTTGTTTGCTGGGGTCTTCGAGATCCGCCGGCGACCGAATCGCTCCCTCTCCTCCGAGCCACGCGGCGGTGATCTGTCAAGCGCCTGTCAGCGACTCCCTCCCCTGCGCGCGCTGCAGCACGCGCGGAGCCCGCACCCCGCGCGCACAGCCCGACACGCCTGGCCGAAATCGCACAGCTGCTGCAGCCTGTTTTTTCTTTCCCCTCACGCGTGACTTTTCCACACGTGGATCGCAATCACTCCAACACTGATTTTGCCTCGTCCACGCAAATTCACCGCACAGTGCAAAACAGTTGTGTTTTTTTCCCCGCAGCTCTGCCATGTCAAGTGCAGAACGGGTCGGAATGTGGTCAGGAATCCTTTAAGGTCTATAGATCAATAGACTAACCTCCATCCACAAAATCATCAAGGCCTACCATTCCCTGCTGACAGGCTCTGAAGGGAGTTTCCTCGGGGCAATATCAATGTGCTTTAAGTCCAGAATTAGCACTGCATGTAAGAGTGTTCCCTGCAGTCCTACATATTCCATTATTTAAAATTCAAGGGTGCAGTGTTCCTGTGTCAACTTGCAATTACAGAGTTACAATGTCAGCTGTGCGCTGTCAGTCAGACAATGATGGTGGGGGGCTGTGAGAGAACGGGCTCTAATCCTCAAGGGCTGGTGCTCCGTTTCCACTCAGAGCTGTGCTGCTCTCTTCGCGTCCCGGCCTCTGGCTGTCCCTGCGGTGCAAGCGTTATCCAGGGGCCCTCTGTTCCGAGGTCAGGGCCGCAGTGTAGAGAGGCCTCGGGTTCGACCAGCCCGATATCCCCGGGGAGACAGGAATCAAACCCTGTACTGTCACCTGCAACATCTCTTTGCCTTATTTCTCTCACCTTGAGCCAGTGGCTTGCTGGGATAGGCCCCAGCTCCCCCGGTGACCCCGATTTGGGAGAAGGGGCTAGAAAATGGATGGATGGATTTATTTGTTTCACTCCTGTGTATGACAGCAGAAAGCCGCCCGTTCCTGAGTTTTGCAGAAAGACAGAAAAGCACAGGGAGCTAAAGGACTGCGATGGTGAGCAGCCTACAGCATGAGGGAGCTGGGCTGTTTGCAGAGCTCATACGGGAGGTGAGGGGGTTTGATCGAGTAGGTCATTTAAACAGCGTGGCACGCTGATTGTTCTTTCACATATGTTTTTTTATGGATATGAATGCGTCGCTGAGTTTTAGAAGGAGCTGGATTCCACATGTGGGGCCTTATCTATCAAAAAGCCCTCCCTCTCCCCCGCTGTGCTGTTTTCAATTAAATTATATCCCTCTGGAGCAGGGCCAGTCGTTCTGGTATTGATCCTCCCATTTAGATGAATTAAATGCTCGCAGGGGCTGCTAGCATCCTTCTTGCACAAAAACCAGATGAAGATGCTCTGTGCTGCAGAACAGGCTGGCGAGAATTTGTTGCAGTTGGTCACAGGACCAGGGCAACAGAAAACCTCCACACACAATGTCGCCTAGGTGTGTCATTTGCTGCTGATAGGCTCTGAAGGGAGTTTACATGGCATAAGATCAATGTGCTTCTTGTGTCCAGCATTAGGCATGTAGACAATTACCAGAGGGAACTCAGGGGTGCTGGTTCGAAATAATGGTGCATAACGTACCATGTGTTACTGGTTTGTCAGTATCAGACAGTATGTCTCGGCTTCCAACTCCTGAAACTGTTTGGAGGGGCAGCAGGATGTGACCCTCATCGCCTACGGCTGATGCCGATTAATTTCTTCTATTCTAGCTTTAGTTTTCAAGTGCCTTCCCATAACAGTTGTGTCACATCACAAACTGTTCTTCTCATGCTGCTGCTGATGCAGTAATTTGCCGTCACTTCAAAACGTCAGCCTGGCTTTATTTTTCTGGTTCAAAAGCCAGAGTGAATTAATTTTCCATTTTCAAATTGGATCAGATTGTTCTTCCAGGTTTTGCTCA